AGGAAGGGAGATATATAATTCCCAGAAGACTAATTCTGTGTGAAGGGAAGCACTAATTTTGGAAATGCCATACCTCTGCTCTGTGGGAGCATCTAACACTTGCAGTTCTTCAGGTGAGCTCCTGACTGTACTTCAGGAAGTGAAATGACATTGAATTCCTCCTTTCCCTTCAGTCTCCTGAAAGTAATGCCTTCAACAGAGCACTTCATTTTGACTAATGCAAAAGTTCCTGTGAATATAAGCATTAGATTGCACATCTCTTCCGTTGCATTCAGGGAAGATTTACAGTAGGGTAGTGAGAGTTAATGTGTCAGACAAGACTAAATGTGCCTCTGTGCTAAACTGCATCTTTTCTGTTTTTTAATTTTCCTAGGTTGAGAAGTCTTGTCAGAAATCTCTCCAATGGATTTGGCCACCCATGCCCCTTAGTTTTTCACTGAATCAGACTTAAGGTATGGCTTTTATTCTCTTCAATAACAAAAGCCAGATGCTAAAAAAGTAGAATAAGTAGTCTCTTGGTGCCACTTAGTAGACTAGGCCATAGGGAATTGCTTAAAATGGAGCTTTTGTTTCTTATTTAAGTCAAGACAGTCTATTATCTATCCACTGTAGTTCATGTAAGCGTTTGTGCATTCTTTGATTCAGAGGGTTGGTTTGTTTGTTTTTTCCCAAGCCTACTCTGTCTTAAGCAAATCCTTTTTTTTTTTTTTTTTCTGAAATAAACCACTAGAGCATATTGATATAATGAAGCATTGCTTTCAGTCTCTGTGAGACTACCATGCGAGTACCATCTACCATGGAGAAAACATATTATGATTAGAAAGCATATTTATTCTTGACTCTGCCCAAATGGTTTCTTCACACATTTGTATAATGAGGACTAGAGAACTAAACATTCCACCTAGAATTAAAACTGTGGAACATTTATCCAGACCCTTAGAAAGGACTGAATGTTTTTAAATAAACTGACAGTTAACAAAGAAATGTTAGGACCACCTGCAGTGACTCGCATCAGTCTCAGCAGATGAGGTTTACCTTGTGGGGGAGCTCCCCTGCATCCAGAGCTACCTGCATCCAGAGCCAAACGTGAGCAAAAAGCAGAACTGCTCCTACCTGTGTCAGGCTTCCTGGAGATCCATCACTGGCAGCTGGATGTAGTCCCAGTGACAATCATTCAGTGTCCAACAGAAAGCAGTAATTCAGCTCGTGTTTAGTGATGTGCTCCAGGTCAATGGCTTTGTCCTACAAGTAAAAGGTATAGGAGGTAACTTATGCAGAAAAGACATAACGCAAAAACCTACTGAGATAATACAAAATTTGCATTTTCTCCAGCAGAGTCTGGTTAGACGTGTGGTGAACTCCCATCTCATACAGAGCTTGCACTGCAGGGCACAGTTAGCTTTGTCCAAGATTTCACTGCCAGCTTGGCTCGCTTATTTTTGCTGTGTTTTGTTTTAAATCCAGGCTAAAATTCTTACAAAGTCTTGACTGCAGGACTGCTGCTTCAGCTCTTTTACAACCATCCTTTTGGTAAAGCCAGTTCTCTTTTTCTGGAATTTTTAAAAATGTTTCACCTATCTAACCCCAAAGTAGCTGGTCAGCACTTTGCCCAGGTTCACTTAAACCTGGAGTCGATGACCCGTGTCTGACTTGGCATTTACACTGTGCCCACTGCAGTATGGTGTGTGCTGAAACTGAAATCAGTGACAATATCCCTGATTTGTGGCTTGATAATTCATTTGTAAAGGTTCTACTTACATTTACTTTACAGCAGTCCTTATTGCAAACCAAGTTCATCACAAAAAAAAAAAAAAAGCATTGGATTTCTTTTTTCATAGGCTAGACACTTAATGAATACATCTGTTATTTGGAATTCAGATGTTTGCAGATAAAGGAGTGGGATTTACAGCTGCAAAAGAGAACAAATTTTAGAAGACACTGAAACCACCTTGTGTGTATCCTGCCTTTTATAAACACCCAAACACACACCACCCACTTGGACAAAGGCAATATATCCAAAAGCAAATTGAATGAATTGCACTGCCTGCTTTTAGGAAAATAATGTATTTATTCCTCATATGAAATTGAGATGTTCTCTCTGTCTTATGAAATATCAATTTAAACTTTATAACATATTCACGTTTTTACATACACAGCTTCAGACCTATTGTTTGAATAAATGTGCACCTTTACTGACATGACTGTGGGCTGCAATGCAGGCCAGAGGAGCCACGTTTAAATTGCAGGAGGAAAAAAAAAAAAAAAGCAATAGATGAAACACTTGGAAATTTTAGTCCCAAGCTGGAATCTGACAGTTCTATAAACAAAGCTGCAAAGCTGCATCTATGTCACACTTGGAGGATGACAGAGCACTTATACCATCCTACAGTTATTTATTAGCTTAGAGAACATTCATTCATTAATTGGAGAAGAGTCAAAGAGTCTTGTCCTTGTGACCACCTCCTACAAAACGCCCTGGATAACAGCAGCATCCCCACAGTCACCCAAACATGGCTACACAGTGTGCCTGCTCACACGTACTGAAGTAAATTGAACATGTGCAGAGGGTGGTAAGCTGTATTCTGAAAGCACTGCATCCATGGCTTGCAGCTATCTATCTCCTGCAAATCACTGGCACAACATTGTCATGTTCAAAATGCTCCAAGACATTAGCGAATGAATGAATCAAAAGACGTTCTCAGGAAAAGCAGTAAGTACACTCACACAGTCACAAAGGGAATTTCATCATGGCCAATACAGCAGTGCATCTGAATCAAAGTGGAGAGATTTTCTTTCTGAAAGGGCTCCTTTTCTTAACAAAGCAACGTCATCACAGACGTTTTGTGAATACTCTTACAACAACCACGATTAATAAACACTGCTGGATGCTAGTGGGGTATGGTCTAGAAATCAGGACAAGTGGAGTCTTACCTTTGTTTCTCTGACACGGTCATGAGATGCATCCAGGATTTTTCAGAGCACTTTTTGCCAATTCTGGATAGCCAGCTTGCAAAGCAGTGCATGATCCTGAGGTCTGGAGGGAACAGAAAACAGCTGCGTGTAAAGTGAGGCACCAAACCACAAGTACCCTAAACCACTGGTCAGTTTGGGCCTATTTAAAGATTGCCAGCTTATATACTTATTTTTTGAATTGTAATGAGTTCTTGTAAAGCATTCTGAGGTTGCAAAATGGAGACAGCTATTAAAGAGACTTTTTTTTTTTTCTTTTTGACATTTTCTATTTCTGCTGCTCTGGTGTTTGATTACATCTGAGACATGGGAATATACAAAAGCACACGCTTACCGTGGTGTGCTGTTTACAAGGTTATTCTTGCACGTGCTCGCTTGCTTGCTCACTCCCACATACAGCCACACTCCCATTACTGTTACCATTTCCAAGGCAAGGAGATGCTGTGCTTTATGGGCCATCTGTCAGGCAGTGCCGGGGCACTGTATATTGATGCCATGTTTGTAGCTATCTCTTATTTGAAACAAAGTTCAGTTCAAAGCACTTCCAAGTATAGAAAGGGGAGAAAAAAGATGTTAATGTGTTTAGATTACATTAAAATTTTAAGATTAACTAAAAGAAAGGGAGAAAAAAAAGTCTGCTAATGGGTAGAGCTCAGTGGAGAGGCATTATTATATTACTACTAATGCACATAAAGCATCTCCTATTAAAAAGGGATGGCAGTTTTACATCCTATTAAATATATCAAAGCTGTACTTCAATTACAAATCCTTTCATATGCATGTTTTAACAAATATGTCTGATAATAGAGTGCAGCAGTAGCTTTTTAAATGCTAAACAAGATCCCTACAATACAGCTCACAGATAGAAAAGTACTAGAAGAAGGAAGGTCTATTTGACAGGGAAGGGAGAGATGCATTTCAATATTTTCATTGCCTTTATAGCTCGCAAGACAAAGTTTATAAACCATTCCAGTGAGCATAGTAGGACATTGATAAAAGAGCACAACCTGCAACCAGCATACTGAAAGAGTTTGCAAGCTGCTGTTGTTTTTCCACACTGTTATCTTGGAAAACAAGCTGTGTCCTAATAATGCTAGTAACAACAAAAATAAAAGCAGGCCACGGTTGGCTGAGCCCTGCCTTAGAAAACGTAAAATCTCAACCAGCCCCAAAAAAGTTTACCTTCCCTAAAGAGAATCCCTATGCCCAGAGGAAGCTATGAGGTGCCGACACGTGGTCCTGGCCTCGTGGACTTGACTCAGCTAGTGAGCATCTCTTCCACAAAACAACAAATAAATCCTGATGCTGCCCTGGAGAACCCAGCAAGTGAAACGGTGTTCTGCATGAGCAATCTGGTACTCTGTGACCTAGGGGGAATAACAGCAATAGAAGGGTCAAAAGCAAGCCAAAGAGGGATGCAGCATGACCCTGAATTCAAGCTCATAGGTAAGTCCCTTCTACCCCTGCAAACAGTTGCGAGGACTGGGTAGAGGCACTGCAGAATCTCCAAGGCCCTGTGGGTAAAGGATTCTGCTTATTGCATCGTTTTCCCATATGTGATCCCAGTAACAGTGTTAGCACAGCAAAACTGAGCCTCTGAGACACCAGAGTTCAGCTCTGCGTTTCCAATTGTGCCTAGCCCCTAGCCTTAGATTTCTGCAAAACCTAAGCTCTGTTCCAACTCAGGGTGAACTGGAGTCACAATGTTAATCAGATTGGGCAGCAGTCTGCCACAAGCCAGGCTCCATTTGCATGGATCACATATTTCTGACATCTGGCATGGGAATGAATGAGCCCGTGCCTATGGAAATGCGTATGAACCCACAATAAGCTTTTTCAGTTTGCTGATGAATCAATTAAATAGAGGTTCATAAATCTTAAAAAAAAAAAAACAAAACAGGAAAAAATTTTGATCATAATAAAGAACAACAGTAAATTCTGCTTAGCCTTTTTTCCTTGTGGATTTTTTTTTTTTTTTTTTCTTATGGAGATACAGAAGTTGTAGAGATTTAGTGAAATGTAGTCACTTACTTATCTAGGAAATAATGACGAGCAATAGTACTGTAACATTGTCACTCTAATATCCACAGTGCTGAGCAGCAGGGTGGCCTGGTACTCACAGCGCTGGGCCTTGCCTTGCTTTGCCTGTCCCCAGCTGCTCTTCATGGCTGTGACTTGTACTGCCTTGCTGGGTTCTCTGAAAAGCAAGGAGGGTGGTTTGTGACATCTGCTTCCTTTTTGGTAAGACAGAAGGGAAAGCTGGAGCTGGGTCATCTCTCTTCTCTCAGATCAGCACAGGGGTCTGCACAGTAGAAGTCAATATGTGCAGAGAAACCATACCAGGACTGCAATAAGATCATAATAGCTCAAAATAGAGGGATAGAGCCAGAGAAAGAGGCTGTTGTCCCTGATTGCTACCCAGCTTGAAAGTCCAGGAAAAACAAAATCTCATAGTACTGTGTGGGCCATATACACCACTTCTAAGACAACCAGGCTTTGTGAGACAGATTCTGTCCACCTTGGCCTTCAGGAAAGTTGTCACCCAAAGGAAATGCAACCTCTCTTTGTCTCTCAGCCAACTCCTCTGGGTAATATAGATCAGTATCACACCATAGAAGTCAATATTACAGATTCCAGCTGGCTAAATTGGCTTCAATCCACTGAGTCAATGAATCAGATGCTCAGCAGGTGATATACAGTGTTTGACTTGCCTAAGCAATCATTATGTCCAGAGACTCAGAGATCTATTCTGGAGTCTAAGCAAACAAGATAAAATGTGTTCCTCTCCTGGCCTCATATATATCATTTCACATTTAAAAGATTTCTTGAGTTGGAGGCATCAGCATTTACTTCCAGCAGCTCCTGGTTTTGAAAACTGAGAGTACTTAGTAGTTGTGTTTATTTGTGCTGATTTTTTTTCCTTTTCCAGCTGCCTCTATTAGCACAAAGGCTAAATGAAAATTCAAATCACTATGGTGATTAGCTGCAAATATTGCTTTTTGCAATGGGTTTGGTGTCCCAAGCAAACAAAGGACCATTCTTCAATGTGCTGCAGACAGCACAATTGTGTACCTCACAGATGTCTCAGTGCAATCAGCTTCTCATTACTGGACTAAACAGAACTTTTGATGGAGCTGAGAGAATCGAGTGACCTGGGGCAGGAAGCAAAGGTTCCCTTACCTGGCACTCTGTATTTCCTCCCCCGCAGGCATATTGATTACTGAGAGGCTGTTTGCTGAATGAGATCCTACTCAGCATGAATGTAGCTGGAACAAGTCCTATATAATTAAAGAAAGGAAGGGAATAAATGATCTGTCTAACACCTTACTGTTATTATCCCACAACTATGTAATCCACAGCCAGGTTCTCTTTCTGCAGATTTTATCTGCAGAGATTCGGGGAAAAAAAACAACAAACAACAAACCCACAGCTGAAAGCTTACAAATTACACATGGAAGAAAGGAGTTGTTTCTTGTGCTAAGGGGATGCTGAGAAAACAATGCTGCCTCCTGAAGTGGGAGCTAAGGCATCTTGCATCAAATGTGAAACCTACCTCTGAGATCATTTCAGCTGAGGTAACCACAAGCTCCTCGAGAATTGAAGCAAGCCTGCAGAAGAGGGAAGAATCAAAATCTGTGGTGCTTCAGCACATTTTTATGTGCTTGCTAGGCTGGAGATGGAATTTTTAAGGCATGGAGTTGGAATACTGGATGAAGAAAGAAAAGCTGTATGGAGAACAGGACTATTGCACAGCTTCAAGATAAACCAACATAACTAATGGCAAATTATAAAGCAAGGAAGTATTTTAAAAAGTCAGAGCAATAGTAGGGAGATTTCTAAATGCATAGCCACGGACTGCAAACACCACGGCGGCTGAAGATCAACTTCTACTCTAACATGCCACAAGTAGCCAGAGAACAAAGTGATAGAGATGAAAGGAAGTATAGCAAGACAAATGCACACAAGTACACCACAGCACCTGCTAGTAATATGCTATGCCACTAAAAAGCTAACTAAAATAAGAGAAGCAAGATAGACAGAACTTTTCACAGGGATTTCCAGCTGCTCCCAAGAAAAGGACTTGCAGCAGGTCTCTGTTCCCAGAGAAATAATCAAGAAAAGTAGAGCCTGTCCCCAGTGTTGTCAGTAGATCACTGTGTTGCTCTGCATATTATTACTTCTTTCTTGCCTCAGTTTCCCCACAGTCTGTCTGTACTGACTGTGTAAAGAAGAACATGATCAAATCAATGAATAAGGAATGGGAACAATCAGAAAGGACACAGTACAGGACAGCAGGCGAATCTCTGCCTGTGTCTGGGCCCAGAGGAGCATTATGAGGGTCCCACTCATAATAAAATTTCTTAATATTAATGCGAATTCTGGCAACAAAGCAGATGCTTCGATATCTGAGAAAATGACGGCTACAAGAAAGACCTTCTCAATGCTTCAAGGTCTAAGCAGTCTCCCAGACACCTTTTTCTTAACACCCCCTTGTCTCAGCCCCAAACAGTGAGGAAGTTAAAAAGAAAAGACATGATCAATAATTAAAAAGCTGGAAATGAACAAATGGAATGAATTGCTCCAAGAAGGGTGAGGAGAGAAACCTGAGAAATATCATCTATCTTTATCTCTCAATCTGGCAGAGGATTTACAAACCATCTTTAAAAAGAGAGATTCTGAGGTTACGCATTCAGGTTTCTGAGCGATGCCAGGTTTTTTATTTTATTTTTTTCTTTTTACATTATGCTTCCTCATTTTATGACACTTCTCAGACTTGAATCATTCACAGCAGATGGCTCCATGAATACTGGATATTTCCATAAATAATGACAGATTTCCCTTCAGTCTCCCCACCCTCCCTCCACTCCACATGCCCAAATCTTTTGTGTGCTAGCTGCAGATACACATTCAAATTCTGGTCAGCAAACAAGCCTATCTAGTGCCATTGTCATTCCTGCAAGCCCAGTAGAATCAGTAAAATAATGAACTTATCATCCCATTTGATTCAAGAGCATTTTTTCCAAGCAATCCTTAGATAGAAGGGAAATGCAACGCAGCATTTAATGAAATTGAATACTTTTAACACTAGAGAGCCACTGCAGAAAGCATCTGAGTGCTCTGCGGCAGTGGGAAATGCCGGAGATAGCTGGTGAGCCAGATTAGCCACACAGTGATGGCAAGGCAAAGCTCAGGTCCTCTGAGCACCTTTGCCACCACAGAAGCTCTGAGTAGTTACAGTGGGTGAGGAACTGGCCCCAAATTTAGCTACAGAAATCCTGCTTGCACAAGAGGGACTGCTAACAAAACAAAGAGCCTCACAAAAAGAGAGGAGTGCACAAATCCTTGCTGTTGGGTCATGGCATTTGTTTGATCTACCTGCAGTAAATGATGTGTGACGCTACTGTCTTACGGAGATAAAAGCAAGGTGGCTTTTAATTCAGGACATTAAGAGAAAATATTAAAAACTTCTTATCAGAGCAATAATTTATGGCTAACTTCAAGTGCTCATAATCTGCCATCTATATACATTTCTATCAAATGACCCTGTAAATAATTAATAGATCTAATTCTGTCAGTGTTGCCAGGGCAGGTTTCCCTGCAGAAGGTTAATGCAATGATTTAATTCTTTATTTATGTGATTAGCAGCCCCAATCAGGCTGTTTTAATGAGGTCGCAGGCAGCGGATTATCTCAGCTGACTTGCCTGGCAGGAGCCCCAAGCGCCCCGTTCTTGTGGTACGAGGTACACTTTCTGTCCAGCTGCCCCATGGCAAACCATTGGCAGCTACTGGGGGCAGAGCAGGGGCCCCAGCAGGGCAGCGAATGCTATTTAGCCCTTTTCTAGTTGCTCGAATTGTAGCTGCATAGTCCAAGTAAAACACAGAAACAGGGATTCTTAATGCACATCTGCCTCAAGATTCATCTATGCCTATTCAGAAAAGGGGAATATCACTATGAGGAGACATGGGATAATATGTCACTAGCAGTGCCTTAGGCTCATCTGTAAAACTTAGTGTTTGGATTAAATCCAAATGATGATCCTCCCTATGTCAACAAGAGAACCTGGCAGTTATTAGATTCTTCCGGGGAAGGAATTGATACAAGTGCTGCTTTCTCGAGATCTCATAAATCTGCATTTCTATGTACACAAAAGCTTGACACACACAAATAAAACAGAACCAGAATACATTTCTTTCATTCCTTCAGTCATTTTTCTTTCAATTTTTCACCAAACCCAGCCCACCAGAGAAAAGAGAACTCTCTGCAGGCTGCTTATGGAATTAAGAGCCCAGTTACTCAGATTCATTGGGCCACCTGGGATCACTGTAACCCCACACGTAGCGAACAGCCTCACTCCTGTGATGAGGGCCATCAAGCAACTCTGCTGTGGGCCATGCTGATGTCAGCGGATCTGATAGCAGTAAGGGAGCACCAGGAAGGCCACACCTGCCTGGCTGGGAAACAGAGAAGTCTTGGCATTCCTTCATTCACAGCTTCCATTCACATTGACTGAGAAGAGCAGAGGAAACAGCTTGGATATTTCTTTTCCTTCCTCTACTTTTCTTCTGTCAAAGGCATCTTTCCAGCTCTCTACTGACCTGCTTTTTGTTTGTTTTTCTGCCTTTTTTTTTTTTTTTTAAGTTATTGAACCTTGTTTCCCCTGCCAAACTGCCTACAGCTCCTGTTCTGTTTATTATACTCAGCACAGAAAGGAATGAAAAGGAACGAATCTTGGAAGAGAAACAAAAGCCTGCAATAAGCCGTATTCTCAATTACCCTGTAGCATGCCGGCTGGGAACAAGAGGAGTTGCCACACTGACACATACAGCTGAAAATTGGGTTTGCTAGGTACAGCAGTGTTAAAGGCAGCCTTTCACTGCCTCCCTCCCTGGCTGCCACTGTGCTGTGCCCTTCGTGAGCGCTCCACCGCTTATTGGCACAGGTATAAAAGCAGCCCTTGGACAAGAGACAGCTCAGGTAAGCTCTTGAGAAATCAAAGCAGGAAAAGCAGATAAAAGGCAGCGGTATTTCTGTCACTAACTCACAGACGGGTTTATTCTCTCTAACAATTTCCACCTTGGCAAGCTCCAGGTCACTAAAACAACATCCAGAACAATGAATTAAAGATACTGAAAAAGACTATACAGAATGCAGCATTCTCACAGAAATGTAGAAACTCCCCACACTTCCATGCATTGGTTATCCTCAGGCCTCCGTCAGGCTGAGCACTTTGTGCCTCACTCACACTTGCTGATTTTCAGTGCTAAATCCTGCCGAAAGCAGATTGTCAGATGCAGGAATCTGCAGGGAACAGTCCAGCAATGTGCTCCAGTTGTTCAGGAATAACTGAACAGGGCTGGATAAAACACGGACGCTCTCTCTGTGCACAACAGTTCCCCTGTCACCCTGCCAGGTAACGTTTTGCCTTCTATCATTCTTAAAACTAACTATGGAGGTAACTGCAATATTTTCCCTGAACGGGCAAACAAAGGAGCGAAGCGCCAAGCCCACCAGCACTGCCTGTTCAAGATATGCATTACTGCAGGATTCTGCAGAGAGTCTCCTAAAGACCTTACTGTGTCTCACACAAAGCCACATCCTCCTTATTCTCGTGCAGCAGCAGCTGCAGGGACCCGGGGAGTAGAAGGAAAGGAGCAGAGCAGCCAGGCAGTGCTCACACATCCTCACCTGCAGCAGTGGGCAGTGAGCCAGCCTGCCCTTTGGGGGCAGGGGGAGGAGCAGAACATACCTGCTCAGTGTGCAGAGGATGGCTTTCTGGGGATTGGTTTTCCTTTCTTTTTTTCAGGAAGCATTTATCTTCTGATAGTTTTTTTGTTTGTTTGTTTTTGTTTTTTTAATTTACAAACAAAACCCCACGGAAGATCTCAACGCCTACAGATCCCTTGGATTGTTTTGTTTGTTTGTTTGGTTTTTTTTTGCTAGAAGAACTAATCCAGAAAACAAAAAATGATGAGACCCCCCCTTGTCCCATATCTGCCACTAATTCCTAGGGCACATTCTCCTTGCCCTGCTGCATTTTTACAAGCATTGTTTGCAAAGCGCTGTTCTCTCTGATAATGCATCTTAAGACTGTATCCCTGAAGTTTCCCTCTTTGATTTTGCATCCTGATTCTCTTCAAAACACATCCTCATCTGCCCCTTATTTCATTTCTGGATCTCTTTTCAGCTGTGTGTTCACTTCTGTGCCTGTCTTCATAGAGACATATCTCTGCATATGTACTGTGGAGGACAAAGCAAACAACTTCGGGATCCCCTCCCAGGCTAACCTGTGGAGAGGGCCTGCTTTGTATTTGGGAGAAACCCTAATTCTCACATGACCCTGGATCCTATGGCACTACAGACACCTCTCAGAGGAGCCACCACAAAAAACAAAACAAAACAACACCCTAGAAAGCTCAGCGTACCCATGCTGGGCATACAATCGCACCTGGTCCTGCAAGCCACCTGATGTTCATAGAATCGCTCAGGATGGAAAAGACCTTAAAGATCCAACCCACAACCTAACCATACTACCGTAACAACCCTCAGCTATCTCGTGTCCTTGAGCACCACATCCAGACGGGTTTTAAACACATCCAGTGACTCAGCCATCTCCATGGGGAGCCTATGCCAGTGCTTAACAATCCTTTCTGTAAATAAGTGCTTCCTGATATGCAACCTAAACTTACCCTGGTGCAACTTGAGGCCATTTCCTCTCATCCTGTCACCTGTCACCAGTGAGAAGAGACCAACCCCATTCTCACTGTAAACGCCTTTCAGATACTGGAAGAAAGCAATAAAGTCTCCCCTCAGCCTCCTTTTCCCCAGACTAAACAGCCCCAGTTCCTTCAGCCTCTCCTCAGAGGGCATATTCTGTAAAGCCCTTCGCAAGCTAGGCAGCCAAAAGCCAGAGGCTCAAATTCAGTGGTGCAGAGGGCTGAGCTTAGCAGAGACAGAGCAACAAGCACTTTTGGCCCAACAAATTAAAACTGCACACCATTACAACATGGACAGCAACGCTGTGCTATTCCAAGGAAGGGAATACAAGGAGAAGGTGGGCAACATCAAGGCAGGACTCTGGTCACCACTGCCCAAAGGACAGGGCCAGATCAGAAGGAAGCTCTCCAGGCACCTTCTTACCTTCCAGCATGTCATCCTAATGGGATCTCTGTGCAACCCTTCCTTCCACTGGCACAACACACTTTCATTCACTATATCTCAGATTTTAGGAGGAAAAAGGCTTACACTGAATGTTACTAGCCTATTTTCTTCTCTAGCAATCTGATTTACCCATCCCGAGGGCAGTAGTGATGGCTTGATGTCTTAGGGAATGTACAACTCACACACTTGCCATAAATAATGGATAGCATATTACACAGCACTTAATATTTAAGTACCTGAAGAAGTAAAAGAAAATGGAAACAAAATGTCATTAAGGGACTGACCTGTTTAAGTACTGCAGAAGGTAAAGAATATTTCAACTTCATTCTACTTCCCATTCGGCCGCAGATCCAAAATGAAAACTCTTGAGATGTTTCTCCAGCCACGCTTAACACTACTACTTAAAACAAAGCTGCCTTGCCCTGCACCCTGCATCTCATTGTACAGCAAGCAGCACAGATGTCTGTAAGGCTGCATAAAACCAGGATGAGCTTGTGGAAGAATATTCTTCCAGGCTAATTTTTACCTCGGACACTTAACAGACCCAAAGCTGACATCTTTGTGTTTTAATCATTCCTGATGTATTCTTTTTCATCCTTGAATTTTTGGAGTGCTTTCTGAAGCTGTGTGACTCTTGCTATAACAGTAACATGCCACACAACTTTTTTGTGACAAGGAAGTCCCCAACCTTGGCATATTTAATTTCTTTTGAATTCATTTCCTTCTAGCGTTATTTGACGTGATTCCTATCAGATCTTTGCCTCCAAAATAGTCTGCAGAACATCTTTTTTTCAGTCACTTTCTCCAGGCTACATATGGTTTTATAGACTTGTATCAAATCTCTTCCTTTCAGCTATCTCTTTTCGAAGGTGACAAGTCTTAATCTACTCAGGTGTCCCTGTCACAAAAGCCACTGTGCACCCACATTGCTTTGGTCATCCTGCTCCGTTCCTCCTTCACATCTGATGTGTTTCCTGAGGGGCAGAGGGCAGGGCACCACATGCTACTCACAATGGATGTACTGCTTGGATTTAGAAAGTGGCAGAATTATGGTTTCCACTTAGTCTATTCTGTTCCTAGCATTCAATTTTGTGAGTTTTTGACCACTGCTGAAAGCTCTGAACTGACAATCACTTCAACTTATCTACCAATATCCAACAAAACAAAACAAACAAACAAACAAAAAAACAAAAAACAGAAGAAAAAAAAACCACTGTTCCTGAGTGATAAAAATATTGGGACTCTTTCTTCCTATTTACATTCCTTTCTGTTTATCTGCACTGAATTTCATCTGCACTTCCCTAACCTGGCTCTCAATTTAAGATGGTCATTTTGCAAACTGATTCATTTCCCTGAAAAAATTGAGCTCATCATCCAACTTCACCATCTGACTGCAGCCCCGCTTCGCCTTGTTTGTGAGCCTACCAAACACCACAGCACAGATCCCTACAGAACCAGACTTGTGACTTTCCTCCACAGTGACAACTTCAACCTTTTATTTCTACCTCCCACTTCCCAATTTTAATCAATTTTCTGAAGCACCTCGCTGTTGTTTCATGGCACCTGCATTCCTTAACAGCCTTTTGATGCTTTTTGAAAATCCATGTAAGTTATATCACCAACCTGGCCCATCCACTCCTCCAGTCCTACTCGACAGATTTGTATATCATGATTTTCATTGCAAACCCCCAGATAGCTCTTTGTCACTGATATTTACTGATGTTCCCACTCATTCCATTACTATTACAGTTTTTGCTAACGTATTTATTGCAAATACTAGGTTTACCACTGTGGGGTTCTGGGAACCTCACAGGAAACACTTAAAAAGGATGTTAAACTGGTATTTGTCTTCTGGTACCAGGACATAAGCCAGGAGTGCACACTGGAGGTAACACTTGCCCTATTTCATCAACCTGCCAGGAAAGACATCCCACTGTGGGAGTCCCCCACGATCCTCCACAGCAAATACCATGAAACATCTCACTTTTCTAAGCACTCCTTCTGCATAGTTATTGCTTACTGGTCCTACGGACTCCAGAAAGCTTCCTGCTTCTCCTGTGTTTGAAACAGGATTTACTAGGGATTTTTTGGCGCTTTCTGTAAATTTCTCCAACTCTTTTGGCCCTTCTTACTGCATTTTTCCCTATTATCTGCCTGTCTGGGTCTACAAGCCTTTCTATTTTTCTCATTTGTCAGGCCCAATCTATCTGAAGGATATATTCTCGCTTTTACTAATATACTTTTCCTGCTGTTTAGCCATCTTAGTTTCCTTCTTCTTTTTTTTTCTTTTTCTTTTTTGTCCGCAAGGTGATAAATAGGATACATTTGCTCTAGGATTCCATCACCATCTTTAAACTGTCTCTATGTTACACAGTAGGACTTTACTCTTTTAGTTTTGTCTAGCTTCTCCATTTTAAAATCAAGCGTGACAGCAGTGGATGTTTTAGCTTTCCTTGCATCTGCAGGAATGCTTAATCTACCTGTATCGTGGTCCCTGCAGCAGAGCGGACCTTTGACAATGATGTTATAAACTAAGCACAGTCCACTGGCTTGGCTCTTAGAAGCTGCTCTTGTGGCTTCCTTGACTGCTGCTCCATAAAGTGGTCACTGATGGTCTCAAAGAACAGACTTGACGTTGGGCCTTGATATGACATTTACCCAAGCTACAAAGGGGTCATGGAAATTGTTTATCTTTATTGTGTTTGCTGCCCTTAGAAGCACTCTGATCTCTCTCAAAATGTCACAGTCACTGTCTCACTGTTACTATCCTGGTCAGTCAATGGATAATTTAGTCGTAATGCAGTATTTTTCCTATTTAAGTGTAAAACTTGAGTTGCTGACAGGGCTATTCTATTGATCTGATTTGATTTCAAACTTTAACACTAAGCAACATCCACCACCGCTATTTGACTCCATCTTTCATGAACACTGTGCTGTTTGGTCTTAAAGTGCCCCATGACCTCCGTATTCCCTCCTGGAATCTTTCAGTAGGTCTGGTAAGTCAATACCATGGCTTACAGCTATTTCTTAGGCATTTTTACAGAATCACGTGACCCACTGCTCTGGTTTCTGACTTCTGACTCTGCAGCTTGCTTAAATGGCACGTGGTTGGCACCAACAGCTGTTTTTCTTTCTTGATTGACTGCTGCTGATTCCTGCCCTAACCTTGAATTTAAAGACACAAAATTGTTAATTGCAAGTGTTTCATCTCAGAAGACACTTGCCTTCTGTAAGAAACTAGTTTTGACTTAGATTCTTATGCTAGCTGAGATTTTTTTTTAATCTCTAGGTTCAGTCCAGTTTTGAGGAAGTCTGTGCAATAAATTCCTGGTGACATCAGAGAAGCTGCATCTTGCATGTGCCTTACTAGTACAGATCACACCTTAAAATCTGTGCTCACTTCCTCTTCAACAAGAAGAGGTAAAGAGCAGAGCTCTTACTAAACCACTCTATTCCTATTGAAGATCTCTATATACTCATACATTCTCAGGTGCCCGCTGATAATAAACTTGTATCACACAGCCAGAACTACAAGAGCACTATGAAGTGACATTCGCGCTGTGAAGCCTTAATTTAGGCACCACAATGATTAGAGTGTTTTAATATTATAATAACTGATAAATAGACTATGTGTCAGACATTTCATTCCCTTTTAATCAAAACTCCTAGTCTGCTAAATTAATCACCCCCTTGGGGTACAGTAGCAGATTTCCAATTTAGTCATAGAGCATCATTAATAATGAAAAGTTCTGGAGGCAAATTCTTCTGTTCATGTTCTTTTGTATGATCGAGCAGGTTTAAAGAGACAAGACGGAGAACACAGAAGACATCAACACCTCCTAGCAATCCAAATAAATAAACATCATTTTTGATGTCAATCCTTTAATGACTGTCCTCCTCCTTGAATATTAACAATATCATCACAAAACCTAAAAAGCCAGCCAGAAGAGTTGTGATTTTACTAAATGGTATTAACAAAACCAAAGCTTAAAAAAGCATGAGAAATGGAGAGGAATGCTGCATTTTGAATAGCTCTTCTATTGTGGCATTGTACTTTTGGTTTCATTAAACTGTCTAATTTCAGAGTGAAAGTGTTTCTGAACAAGTTTTCTTTACATATAAGCTTTCATTTTTTCTTCACTAAAGTAATTCAATAAGTAAACTCAGTAAGTTTGCAGGTGACAATAAGTTGGCAGGAAGTGTTCGATGTGCCTGGGAATAGAAGGCACTTCAGAGGGATCTGGACAGACTAGGCTGAAGCCAAAGGGATGAAGTTCAACAAGATGAAATGCCAGATCCTGCATTTTGGCCACAAGAATCCCAGGCATCATTCCAGGCTTGGGGCAGAGTAGCCACTTCTTTCACATGTGGAAGAAATGGACCTGGGGGTGTTGGTATGAGCTCAGCTGAATGCAAGCCAGCAGTATGCCCAGGTGGCCAACAAGGCCAATGGTATTCTGGCTTCTAACAAAAATAGTGTTGCAGCAGGAACCAGGGAGGTGATCATCCCACTGTACTCAGCTCTTTTCCAATTTAATGATACTACGATCCTAAATTTTTTAGAAAAACATCTTCTGTTCTGCTGAGTTTTAAACATACTTCTGTGTAAAGAATAAACTTATTCTCTACCCACTAATAAATGTGCTTCATTTTCTGCTCAAGAGGTCTCCAACTACAGATACAAGTTCTTGACCTACTTGGTGACGGTGGTATTTGGGAAGAATAAAACGCTTCGATAACAATGAAGCGGCAACACTCATTTTGCACCATTGTAGGGAAGCATGTTTCCTTTCCATCCCTGTTTGAATTCTTTAATGCAAAAAGAATGGCAGGCTGCCTGAGCCAGTGAAAC